TTTGGCGGAGAATGAGCTTGGAAAGTCTTTGAAGGTGTTTCGAAGTGATCGAGGGGGTGAGTTTACCTCACTCCAGTTCAATTCATTTTGTGATCTAAATGGAATCAAACGTCATCTTACCGCCCCATATTCACCACAACAAAACGGTATTGTGGAACGAAGAAACAGAACACTTATGGACATGACACGAAGTATCATGAAGGCGATGCACGTTCCAAACTATCTATGGGGAGAAGCGGTAAAACACTCCACAAACCTGATCAACCGTGTTTACACAAGAGTACTTGGTAATACAACTCCGTACGAGAAGTTGTATAAAAGAAAACCTAATTTGGAGAACGTACGCATCTTTGGGTGTCTAGCGTATGCAAAAGTTGAACCGGTAAACGTGAAGAAGTTGGATGATAGATCAAGACCACTGGTGCATCTTGGTTCCGAACCGGGTACGAAAGCTTATCGTCTTTTTAACCCGGTTACACAAAAAATAATCGTAAGTCGAGACGTTATTTTTAATGAAACCAAAGGGTGGAATTGGGTTAACGAAGCTACACCCGACAATGAAGAACCAGGATCATTCATAGTACCATGGGATTTACCGGAAGATAAGGCGAACAACAACCAAGGAAACGATGTAAACAACGAACCAATTGAACCAAACGAATCGGATCACGAGATTGAAGACGGAGTGGAGGTACAAGAAAATGAGCAACCAAGTCCGGTCAACAACAACGTAAACAATGTTCAAAACCAAAGGCCCACAAGACCAAAGGTGCTTCCAATTCGATTACGAGATTATGTACTTTATGTTGATGACATTGAAGAACTTCTCCTAGCAACCAATGACGAGCCGGTATCGGTTGAAGAGGCGAAGAAAGAACCAGAGTGGGTCAAAGCCATGAATACAGAGATCAATTCGATCAACAAGAACAATACTTGGTCTCTCGTAAACAAGCCTATGGGGGTGAAGCCCATTGGACTCAAATGGGTGTTTAAGCTAAAGAAAAATGCAGATGGCACCATAAACAAACACAAGGCAAGATTGGTTGCTAAAGGGTACGTACAACAACCTGGTATTGACTTTCAAGAAGTATTTGCTCCGGTAGCTCGCATCGAAACCATACGGTTTCTCATTGCCTTAGCCGCTACCAATGGATGGGAGCTTCACCACTTGGATGTCAAGACGGCTTTCTTACATGGAGAGTTGAGAGAAACCGTCTATGTGTATCAACCGAAAGGCTACATAAGGAAAGGCGACGAGCACAAGGTGTACCGTCTTTCAAAAGCACTATATGGTCTTAGACAAGCACCGAGAGCATGGAATACGAAACTTGATGGGATTTTGAAAGGAATGAAATTTCACAAGTGCATGAAAGAACCATCGGTGTACCGAAAGAACGAAGGATCCAACTTGCTAATTTTAGCAATCTATGTTGATGATTTGTTTGTCACAGGTACAAATTTGAGCATGATCAAAAGGTTCAAATTTGAAATGTCCAAGAACTTCGAGATGTCTGATCTTGGAAGATTAACTTACTACCTGGGCATTGAAGTCAAACAGGATGAATCGGGGATTACAATAAACCAAGAAGCGTATGCACAACGCATTCTGAAGGAAGCCGGTTTACATGATTGCAATCCTACCCACATTCCCATGGATCCAGGAACCAAAATGTCGAAGGCCGAAGATGAACCCGAAATCGACCCGACACAATACCAAAAGTTGGTAGGATGCCTTAGATATCTCTTGCAGACAAGACCCGATATGGCATATGCGGTTGGAGTTGTTAGTCGATACATGCAAGATCCAAGAGAATCACATGGTGTTGCAATCAAACACATCCTAAGGTATTTACGAGGAACAACGGGATACGGAATCAAGTACGAGAGGATGGGACAAAATCGAATAATTGGTTACAGTGATAGTAGTCATAATGTTGATCCAGATGACGGAAGAAGCACAACTGGTCATATTTTCTACTATGGGTTGTCTCCAATAACATGGTGTTCGCAAAAGCAAGATACTGTTGCTTTATCATCTTGCGAGGCAGAGTTCATGGCAGCCACTGCGGCTGCATGTCAAGCAATATGGCTTCAAGATTTGCTGGGAGAAATCTTGAACAAAACGCAAGAGAAGGTGGTTCTTAGAGTTGATAACAAGTCGGCTATCAAACTAACAAAGAATCCCGTTTTTCACGGAAGAAGTAAACACATTCACACTAGGTTTCACTTCATTCGTAATTGCGTTGAAAAGGAACAAGTGGAGGTGGAGTACATTCCAGGTGAAGAACAAAAGGCAGACATTGTCACAAAACCGTTGGCTCGAACCAAGTTCAAGATAATGCGGGACTTGATCGGGATTGAAGACATCTCTAGAAGGACTTAAAGATTCGGGGGTGATTGTTGGAATCCTAATTCCTCATTTCACTCCACTCATGTCTTCCACCCACAAATAAAGTAGAGGACACCAACAAGTTGGTTGGGTCTCATGTTTATTATTATAGGATTGGAAATGATTTAGTCCATCTTATAAATACAGTGCATTATCAAGAGGGTAATACACACCAACACAGAGAAACAAAAACACACTGTAAACTAATTTGGTTTTTGAGTTATATTTCCAAATTAATCAAAGAGTAGTTTGATATATATTGTGTGCTATTACATTTCTGTGAAGCGTGAGGTACGGGCGAAGCACAAGGATAATTTGATTTTGATGGAAAGATATCATTTCTTTGCATCAAGTTGTAGATAATTTGGCTACAGATCCAAATCACTTTCTGAGTTAAGAAGTGATGAAAGTGAGGTTGATGGGGCTCTTGCCGGTGTTTTAAAGTGCTTAAACGGGTCCACTTTTGACCCGGTATGTGTCACTTCACTTTTTACAAATCATAATGTGTTTTGAAAACTTGGGTTTTGATGTTATACACTAATTTATACAATAGGAACTCGTGGAGGATTTTGAAGGCCGAGATGCAAGGCAGGTGAGATTTTCTTTTACCCTCTCCCCCATACATACACTCTTTGATTTTCTTGGTATTATTATTATTTATTAATTTGTATAATTAATTAATTATGATGTCAGATGTTGCGAAAAGTCAAGCTGAGGACAAGTTTCCGGTTAAAGATAAACACTGATTTAGCTAGATGTCATTAGAATATTGTATGATAATAGGTAGAGGTTGTCAAAGATGTTTCTTTGATGCAAGTCTAGTTATATATACATAGTAATTCTAAGTACCGGATGAATAATGATTTTTGTTAGTTCCAATGTTTAGTTTTCATTTATTCGATCTTTGCTCATTATCTTTTTTTTTCTTTTTTTTTCTTTTTACTCTTTGGTCCTTTTTGCTTTCGCCCCTATTTGCGTATGTTGATGTGTTTGTCCTTCCACTTCTATAGCTTTATCTCTATAGCTTTATCAAAATAAAAGAAATTAATGTCATTATAGCCTACATCATCTACATAGGTATAGCATTGCCACCACACTTTCATTATTACAGCAGACGTTGACAACATCCACCTCCACATGTTGCCACCATTTTCCAAAGGTTCCAACTCTAATCACTATATAAGAAACATGTCTTGCTTTGACCTACATACATCAAAACACAAAGTACGTTCCAAAAAAAATGAAAGGTACAGAGGTTAATATTCCAAGCACTGATTAATCATTTACGAGAAGTTGGAGACATCATGGAGTCCGTTCAAAACCGACTTCGATAACACTTTCCTCATACAAGAAGACGGCAACTACAAAACCATCTTTGAAGATGCAAGAATCGAAGATTCTCTATGAAAGACAATATATCGTTTATGCTTGCATCAATTCACAAAAGAATTGGCAAGTATAAACAACTAATGAAGTAATGAAGACCTTATCAGACAGGTGAATGGTTGTTATATTTTCTTCAAATGTGTAGTTTTCTGTTTTTTATGTGATTCCGTTTCAGTTGTAGTCGTTCCTTCCTATTTTACGTATATTTTACGTATGTAAAATAAGTATGTGACGAAAACTACAACTGAAAGGAACGACTATAACTGAAACGGAAACACATAAAGAACTGAAAACTACACATATTGGAAGGAAAGTCATATAACAACCATTCACTTGTCTGATAAGGCTTTCATTAATTGTTTATATTTGCCAATTCTTTTGTGAATTGATGCAAGCATAAAAGATATATTGTCTTCCATAGAGATATCTTCGATTCTTGCATCTTCAAGGATGGTTTTTGAAGTTTTGTAGTTGTCTTTTTCTTCCAGTGTTATTGAAGTCGGTTTTGAGCTGCCTCCATGATGTCTCCAATTTCTCGTAAATAAGTAATCAGTGCTTGGTGTATTTTTCGAACCTCCGTACCTTTGATTTTTTTTTTGGAAAGTGATTTGTATTTTGATGTATGTCAAAGCAAGGCATGTTTCCTATATAGTGATTAGAGTTGGAACCTTTGGAAAATGGTTGCAACATGTGAAGGTGGATGTTGTCAACGTGTGTTGTAACAGTGAGAGTATGGTGGCAATGTTCTACGTATGTAGATGATGTAGGTTATAATGACCTTTCTTTTATTTTGATAAAGCTGTAGAAGTGGAAGGACAGCACATCAACAAAGGCAAATAGAACAGGACCAAAAGAAGATAATGGTCAAAGGTCGAATAAATGAAAACTAAATATTGGAACTAACAAAAATCACTTTTCATCTGGGGTACTTAGAGTTACTATGTATATATAATTATGCTTATGTAGCATTTTTAAAATAAAATAATAAATCACTTGTCAACGTATCATTTTTTATTTTGCCACCAACATGTCCTTTTTGGTAATTTTACATATATAAACAACAGTTTTTGCCAAACACTCCAAAATATTTATCAGCTTAAGCATTTTGCCACCACATAAGCACTAATCCAAACATTCCTTTAAAAACTCTATTTTGCTAGCACATAAGCTATTAAACACTTTTACCCAAAAAAAAATGTTTTCAACACAAACACATATAAAATGAGTCCCAGAAAAGATTTCAAAAAACTTAATAAGATATGTGCAAGATCCATATATCACACTCACCAACTATGACACTTTAAAGTAAAGAAAAACAAGTTTCTACTTTCTACACACACCGTTTCAAGAGTCTAAAACTAAACTCATGCAGAAGCATACTTAGCTATCTTTGATTCCAGTGAAGTTTTATCAGCCCCAACAACTTTATCAATCTCCTTTCCATTTTTAGTAAAAAAGAAGGATGGAACACTGTTGATATTCCATTGTGCAGCTACATCTCTGACTTCATCAATGTCAATTTTCAAGAACACAACTTTTCGGTGTTTCTGCCAATTTTGCATAAAGAGGAGCCATGAATCTGCAGGGCCCACACCATGTTGCTGTGAAGTACAGAATCACTAGTTGGTTTGACCTTGAAGAAGCAGTCAACCTTGTTTCCAACTCAATTGCTTTGTGAATAGCAACTACTTCACCTAAAGATCCAAAAACAAAAAAAAAAACAATAAGTCATTCTTTCTGCATTAAATAAAAAGAAACACATATGTATAGTAACATGAGCATAAAAACTAAATGGCATACCATTAGTTTGAGCTGGAGTATGCATGTCCTGCATTAAATAAAAGTTATATGTGAGCATCATATAAAGTTATAAACATCCTAAAATTTTATCCAATATGAAAAGGCCATAATGGTTTTATTTTTAATAACAAGTATCAAGTATGCATGCCTCAGTTTTAGGCTGTGATTTTTGCCTTTCGCGTTCATTTGCTTTAACTTTCCTTAATCTTTCATACTTGCGTCTATGCTCTTTGATCTTGTGAACATTAGGTTCAATCTGCAAAATCCATATGCATGCACACCAAGAAGAAAAGTAAATGACTATGATTTATTTTTCACCATTATTCAAAAAAGTTGAAGAGCAATAAATAGTAGAGTGACAAAAAAGTTGAAAGCTAAAAAAAGCACCTTTTTAAGAAGTGAACCAATCTCATCATCATAATCTAATGATGATGCTATACCCAGATCATATGCTGCTTCTTCCCAAAGACCAAGCATAGCCCTAGCAATTCCACGCATTTTATAGCCTTTTGCTGAGTCAGAATTTGATCTAATTATTCATAAAATGTCAGAAATTAGTTAACTATAATCATACTGTAATTAATACACAAAAAAGTGTACATACAGACCTGTAAAGCCACATCAGCATCTCGGATCGCAGCATTTGGTTTTTGTAGTTTGACATAAACACTAGCTGCAAGTATGTATAACCAAAGGAAACATAAGGCTTACTTATTCTTCAAGTCGCAATAGTAGCAATGTAAAATTACAAAAATACCCCTAACTTTATTCAACTTAATGAATTGTAAATAAGAAGTACCTCTAGTTGCATATAATATGGCTGAACTTGGATTCAGCATAATAGCTTCGGTCAGGTGTTCAATGGCTTCATCAAGTTTACCTACAAGTAATGACAACAAAGTGAACATGCATACTCTTTAAATTAATAGTTGACAATAAAGAACATACCTTGAGAGATTGCATCGATAGCTTTTGACTTCAGTGTTTGTGCAAGATCACGGTTTTCATCTGTAACTTCAATCGAGAGGTCTCCCATCTGGCACACAGGAGAAAATTGATGATAAGAACAAGAAGAAAGAAGGGTAATTGTGTAAATTTACAGATGATGTGAAAGTTCGTCACTTTTTGCACACCTTTTGTGGAGGGTCAATGTCGGGCTTTACAACATCAGAATCATCTAATTCGAGGTCAGACTCGATAATGTCTTCGTTGAATGTATGTCCATTTTCGCCATTCTTCATATGAATTTTGTGGAAATAACAAGAAAAGATACATTAAACCCAATGATGTTAATATGGTGAGCTCAATAATCACTTTTCTTATAGCCAACTTATACTATATTACCCAAATCTAACTACTTTGGGACAAAATTATCAGAAAATGGCTTAAATCACAATGATCAGTTCAAAATTCAATCGCACCCCCAAATGCCCCTAGTGTCAGATGCTTAAAGCACCTCAACGAATCAACTTATTCCTCTATGTAAAATGATATTCTTTAGTTGCAAAATTAGAGCCAAATCGGTCAAACCTTCAAAAGGCAATGTAATTCATTGACATATCAAGATCACAATCTTTCGTATTTGGTAGTATTTCTATATAAGCATAATAGGTAAAGCTAATTTCAAACCGAAACAGACTCTATGATGAAAAGCCGCTATAAAATCAAAATTTGGGGCTTACCGATGTTGATGTTGGTGGGATTTTGGCGCCGAGGCTGAAAACAAATAAATGAACAGATCAATATACTCAAAAGGGTACTAATCGCACATAAGTAAGCTTTAAGTTGACAAATAATTTTATCTCGAAATGGTATCATAATAAATAAGCGAGGTGATTATACCTTTGGAGAAAGGTTTTGAAGAAACCTAGAGATGGGCTATGGAGGATTGAAGGGTCGGATTGGCAGCTCTCGACGAAGAGCTTGAGTTCTTTAATCTTGGAATCATCCATGACAGTCGTCTGCTTCTCCGCTCTAATTTGGGGTTTTCTCAGGAACAGGGGAAACACCGAACTGTGAGAGTGTGATTTCAGAAAAGGATATATTTCGAATAGACAAAACTTCAAAAATGGTCCCTGTGGTTTTCGAAAATATCAAGTTTAATCCTTAAGTTCAAAAAACCTCACAGATGGTCCCTGTGGTTTCAAAACTTTTAACATTTGGTTCTTCCGGCTCACTCCGTTAGCATTTCACCGTTAACTCATTTTTTAATTTTATATTGTAGGAGTAATTTCGTCATTTCAGTTGTAACCTTCTCTTTAAAAGAAATTGCATGTCCGATTTTTGGGCAAACCCTTTACATTTATCAGTCGTCATCTCTCTTCTCCCTTCCACTGTTGCTCGACCGTTGCATCCTTCACGACATCCAATCGCTTCTGATTCAAAGATGGTGACTTGCAGATGTGGGAATGAAGCAATGAAGATCACTTCATGGACGGATCGTAACCCTGGAATACAATTTTGGAACTGTACAAGATGTGGGTTCCTTCGATGGTCTGATCCTCCTATGTGTGCTAGGGCATTGGTGGTGATTCCAGGTTTGATAAGATCAATGAACCGATTGGAAGAGAGGGTTGCCATTGCAAGTGCAGAATTGTGGAACTACCAACTGATGTTGTTTTGTTCATGGGTGTTTTTTTTGGTATTATTTTAATCTCTAAGTATCTTGTGAAGGTTTGGATGGTAATGGAGTTTTGGTTTTTGGTTTGTAACCATTGCAGGGGGTTTTTTTTATTTTAATCGAATAGGGGTTTTTTTGCTTTCAGTTTATGTAGGGGGTTTTGGAATTGGTGTTGTTGTATTTGGTTTATGTATCAGATTAATGTGTAATGGAGTGGTAATGGTAATGGTAATGGAATGTAGTTTGTAATAGTTAATTGTTCAATTTCTTGAATGTTTTTGAAATGCAATTGTTAAGTGTATTGTAAATGCTCATTTAAGATGGTTTTGATTTGCAATTGAAATGTAAAATGTTATTGATTGATCTGTGAAGGGTAGTACACAAAGCATATTAATTCATTACCAAAATGTGCATACTGCATACACACCATTACATGCAAATTTTTAAAGTTCTTAACACAACCATCATACTAAGTTCCAAAAGACCTACAACACAAGCTTGACTTAAGTTTCAAAAGACCTACAACACAAGCATTACATGCAATTCATGAAAAGTTCTTAACACATCTTCAAACAATTACACATGACTTTAGTTTCAAAAGACCTACAACACTAGCACCAGGTCCAACTACTAAAAATACTTTTTAGCCCCCTCCAACTTCACCACTACCTCCCTGCCCTTTACATGTTCTGGAATTGTGCCCTTTGTTATGACACTTAGAACAAGTGACTGCCAGATATTTCCTGCTTAATCTACCAGCTTGGTTGTTTGGCTCATCAACACCCCTCCTTCTCTTCTTCTTAGGCCTTCCAACCTACACATATTGATACACTATAGTTAAAATTGAATTCATTCCATGTTCACATGTTTACTATATAATTGGTCTACTTGAAATACAAACCTGTGTTTTATGTTTTGGTGGAAGTAAAGTGAATGGGCAGTCACTTTTAGGCCACATTGAACGTCCATTCAATGGATCAATTTTGTTGAAATACATGGCTTTCTATGTTAATAACCTATAGCAAGGATGGACCCATTCATCAACATGTGGGGCATTTTCACCATTTTCAATTTTTTTCCCATATAGCACAAACAGCATGTCTACATGGGAAACCTGTAATCTCCCAAAACCTACAACTGCAACTTTGGTCATTCAAGTTTACCACATTCTGGTCTTGCCATGTGCTTGCCACTTGGTACTTTCCTGCCCCATTGTATTTAGCCACATACTTAGCTGCATCAGTCTTAATCTTTTCAAACACTGTAGTTGCAGTAGGGGTTAGAAGTCCTTCACACTTATTTATTTCCTTTTGCACCACACATAACCTCTTCATAAGATACTCTCTAATATACTCTAAGCAAGTGATAATAGGTTTATCCCTACCTTCATCTAGCTTAGAATTGAATACCTCACAAAGGTTATTCAACAAACAAGCAGTATGTGCCCTTCCTGAATCATAGATATTAAGAGAAGACAATTACACATATAGTAAACACACAACAGGGAAGATTAACATTTATCAATAAATTTCTAGAAACTTACCACTAAAGTGAGATTTAGCCCAAGCGTTTGCTGGGATCTTACACACCCAAGCATGAGCCTCTTCATTGATCTTCTTTAACTCATCCATTGCTCTGTTAAAATGATTGACTGTTGTTGCTCTACCACACTCCCAAAGCTGGTCACTTAAGTCTTTTCCTTTCGACTGTTTCTTCATGTTTTCCTGGATATGCCTCAAACAGAACCTGTGTTCTGCGCTAGGGAATACCTTCTCCATAGCTGGTATTATTCCCTAAACAAAAGTCAATGTATGCAACATCAGTTACCCAAATGTGTTTAGAAATGGTACTAAACAAAAGTTAGGTGATACACACCTTTTGTCTATCAGAAATGAATGTGAAGTTTGAATTTGCTCCCAGATCCAGATCTTCTCCTAACAGTTCCAAGAACCAAGTCCAACTACTTGTTGATTCTATCTCTACCACTGCATATGCTACAGGGTATATGTCATTGTTTGAGTCCAACCCTACAGCAGTTAACACTTGCCCAGGGCAAGGGCCCTTCATGAAAGTACCATCCATACCTAGAAAATCTCTTAACCCAGATTTGAATCCTAACTTCATTGCACCCAGACAGACATATATTCTTCTAAAAGTTCTTGTGGTAATAGACAGGGAGGTTTCTGGATACACATCAATCCGAACTGTTGTACCAGGATTAGTGTTGAGTAGCTCCAACACATAATCCCTCAAAAATCTATACTGTACTTGGTAGTCCCCACTAATGATACGTTCAGCCATTGACTTTGCCCTAGCAACCTTTTGCAATGACATTCCTACCTCTAGTTTCTTGCACAACTCTTCGTGAAAAGCTTTTACTGGAATTTTAGGGTTACTCTGAATTTGTTGAACAATTAAGCTTGATACGTATCTGGAAGTGCAAGCTTTAACCGCCCTTGTTTGCAAACATTTATGCTCATCCTGTACTGTTTTCACCAACCAATCCTGATTTTCATTAGCCCTCGATATTTGGACTGCCCATGGACATGTACCTTTATTGGCAATTACATCTTTACCCTTACACTTTGCCCTACCTCTAGTTGAGGGCCCACCACCATCAACTACTTTAGATGGCTTACTTACAACACCTTTACATTTCACCCTAATCTGGATTTTGTCATTTTTTGCTAGGTATAAAGACCTCCTTGTTGCTACAGCGTGTGAGTTCATGTAGTTTTTAACATCACGCTTGGTTTTGAAGACCTGGCCAATCTGAAATGGTTTTACATAAACCTCTCCATGTGAGCATGTACTTGACTTACTCAACTCTTTTAGCAGTCTCTTCCTATCATCTTCATGAAATCCCGCAAATTGATAATCATCAGTGGCAATAACTTCCAACTCATCATCAACCATGTCATTCCCTTCATCTTTTGAATGATTGTTCAAGATTCCATGTTCATCTACATCAATAGCATTATGGAATTCACTCATGTCTACATCTACATCAAATTGTATGTTAGACTCATCCACATTGTATTCACTGTCATCAGAATCATCTCCACTATCCTCAGAACCATGGCCACTCTCAGAATAGAAAACCTCTCCACTATCATCACTCACCCTACCCTCTAGATAATCCATTTCTGGTTGTTGTTCAAATGAAGTTTGAACATTAAACTCAGCATCATAATCAGCATAAAGTGAGTAATCCTATATAAATGGTTCATAGTCATCAACTGTTGCAGTATTAGCTCCATCATCAGCTTGGCAGCTTGGTTCCTGTACATGGTAAGTTCCCAATGGGTCTTCAGTTTCAACTGCACTAGTGATCACTTCTTCTTGAGCTTCAATTTCATGATTCACCACTTCCTCTTGAATGACATGACTTTGTTTGCTAGCTTGTGACCTTATAAATGGCAGAATACTCTTTGAGTAATCATGCCCTTCATCAACATCTAATACTTGTGACTGCTCATAATCAGGGTTCATAGACTTGTTTAGATCAAGCTTTCTACTACATGATCCTGCTTCTCTCCTACAAGGTTTCTTTCTATTCATTTCAGGTGACACACTATCAGGCTCCAACTCTTCAATAACAACTTTAGAAGGAGACTTGTAATAACTAGCTACCCTTGTTTGACCAGTTTCAATATACACCCTAATAAGTCTGTGTTTAGGGACATATGATACCATTTTAAGTACATCTTGGTCATTACCTAAAGGCATTAAGCCATAGTCCAAAGGGTATTCAGGGATACAGAAATGGTAGTAAAGGGTTTGCTCAGTTTTGTACCCTAGTTCTCGGACCATGTCGTCAAGCTCATGAACTGAAAATAAATCAGTGTCAACATCATCTACATATGCTACAACACCATCAACGTATTTCCTTCCAGTTGCTTTGATGAAGACACCATTGTAGTGTATCTTCAACGTGAAATAGTTGTCATATCCTTCTGCAAACACAAAAAAAGAGTAAAATCAATGATTTCTCTACGTGAACACAATCTACCAAGAAAAAACAAGTTTTGTTATAGTATTGTACCGTATCTTTTTCCTAAGTCCTCCACGGTTATAAATTTTTCTCGAAAAGACCATATTGATAGCACCATTGCAATTCCTGCAGCTTAAAACCCTAAATCCCAATTTCTGTTCTTGCTTCTACGATGGGAATGAACCCGATGAATACAGATGTAACTGGTTATCTTCTTGGGAGAGGGACGGGTAGTGACGTGTAAGCAATAGGTAATCATTTCATATTAAAGAGAGAAGGTTTCAACTGAAATGACGAAATTACCCCTGCAATATAAAATTAAAAAATGAGTTAACGGTGAAATGCTAACGGAGTGAGCCGGAAGGACCAAATGTTAAAAGTTTTGAAACCACAGGGACCATCTGTGGGGTTTTTTGAACTTAGGGATTAAACTTGATATTTTCGAAAACCACAGGGACCATTTTTGAAGTTTTGTCTTTCGAATATAAACCAAAATGACCATTTATGATTTACTAGCATTTAAGATCAACATTGAATTCATGTTTTCCGTTTTTAACTTTAAATTTATAAAAATAAAATAAATAAAATCCTTATATTTTAGCTCTATTGAAAAAAAAAGTCAACCTCATTTTTCATTTATTTATTTATTTATTTTTGCAATTTAATCACTAGAACTAACTACTACTTGTAATTTGGCTTAATTTTAGAGTATCGCAAACAATAACAATTCCGAAGTTAAATTGTAAACAAAATATGACAGATGACTAAGTCAATAGGCAAAAATATAGATATTATTTTTTCTCAATGCATAATAATTTTTAACCTCAAGTCTTATATATTTTAGAATAAATTACATAAACGGTCCCAATGGTTTGGTTGAACTTGCAGTTTTGGTCCCTAAATTTAAAATTTGATAGGTTACATCTCTATGGTTTGTGAAAATTACACTGAAGGTCTTTGCTCCATATAAAACGACCAAATTACCCTTTCTTTATTTTGTCTTTTTCTTTTAACAATTTATTATATATATATATATATATATATATATATATATATATTATAAATAATCTATATTAAAATCAATTAAAATAAAGAAAAATAGTATTTCTCTCTCTCTCTATATATATATATATATATATATATATATATATATATATTGTTAAAAGAAAAAGAAAAAAAGAAAGAAAAAGTAATTTGGTCATTTTATATGGAGCAAGGACCTGCAGTGCAATATTCACAAACCACAGGAATGTAACCTATCAATTTTTAAACTTAGGGACCAAAACTGTGAATTCGATCACACTATAGGGACCATGTATGTAGTTTACTCTATATTTTAAGATTAAGAGGGTGTTTGAGATTTCATTTTGAACCTCAAAATGATTTTTAGGCAAAATGACTTAGTGACTTATGGTGGTGAGAAATTGAGTTTATTTTTAAATGTTTTGATTAGCTGTTGTGGTAAGGAAAGTCAATAAGTTGTTTTTTTGCAAAATGTTTGTCTTAACTTATACATGTTGTAAGGGGGTATTTGACTTTTACAATCCAAAAAGTTATAATAAGTTTAAAAAATTAGAAATCCTAACTTACTGAAATCTCATTTTATTTTTTTTGAAACACCTCCTAATTTATAATCTATTTTTGTTGAAACAACCATTACAATTTGTTTGATTTTTAATATATGATAATAAATAAATTATACTTCTATTTAATAAAATATAAAAAACGATTAAAATATAAAAGTATATTGTTATGAAATGTATCTGCCACTTTCTGATGATGAAACTAAATCAAAATTTGATACAAAATATACATCTACATACCAAGTAGTTGGTTGAAAACACTGCACTAATTGATCCATATATTGATGGAAAAGATGCAAAACAGTCTTGTCTGCATAACATAGAAGCTATATTCTTATGATAACTCCGCAATAAGTATTCTTAATATATATATATATATATATATATATATATATATATATATATATATATATATATATATATATATAGACACACACACACACCACGTTTATACCAATATGTCTATGATTTTAAAAATCCAAACAATAAACGTCATGTGATCTTCTTTTTCTCTTGGATTTTCATACTAGTTACCAATGTCAATAGTAGCTTCATAACTGTCTAAAAACATATTTATGCAATTGACAAAAACAATTCATCTGCACGTCATCTTCATTTTAATCTTGTTTTTGATACACACCAACCCACATGAAGATTTTTCAACCAAATACTTGATATGTAGATGTATTTCATATCAAATTTTGATTTAGTTCCATCATAAAAAACTGACAGTACATTTTATAACAATATATGTTTACATTTTAATTGGCTTTTATATTTTATTAAATAAAAGTATAATTGAAAAATATATTTATTTATTAGTATATATTAAAATTCAAAAACATTGTAATGATTGTTACAACAAAAATAGATTATAATTTAGGGTAAATGTCATATTAGCCCAACAAACTTTTCACGTTTGTTTAAAAAGGTCACTTAATTTTTTTTTTGGTACATTAAAGGAATAAAGTTCAATTTAACTGTCTTAAAATGTCCTTATACGACCTGATACCGGGTTAATAGGTAATATGGGTGCCACATAGAATTTTGGTCAAAATTAAACACATCATCAAACTTCCGCCTTCATCCCTACATCCTCCGTGTCGTTTTTAAAATATATATATATATATATATATATATATATATATATATATATATATATATATATATATATATATATAAGGGGTGATTTTTTTTTCAATATAACCGAAATATAAATTTTTTTTTTTTTTTGCAAATTTCCTAATTTATAAAATCTAGATGTACTTACATCCCAAAATCTAATATAGAAATATGTACTTAATTCAAAAATTAATTAAACTTGAATTGAGTTATATACCTGGATATTGAAATTTTTAGATTTGTTTTAATTAGAACAAAATTATTATTTTATATTTTGAGTTTTAGTTGTTATTCAAAGGCAATTGTTATAACTTTATGCTTCATCAGTTAGAGCTATATATTTTTTTTTAATAAAAACCAAATTAATAAATAGATCCAATCAAGTTATAATATGGTTTTTGCGGATGGGGTTTTAATTTTGTTTGTACTATTTGGATTTTCTTGATCAGATCGAATCGAATTGATCCATTCGGATGAACATTCTCCATTAGTGTAAACTTCAAATTAGATTTGCGGTATTTAAATCTAGGGCATTTTTCATATATCTATGACATCTACCTTTGAGAGCATTTCATTATCTCTTATCTAACATGACTAGTAAAAATTTAAAAGTTAGAATCAAAATCAAGTCAAACATCTAAGTCAAAAGTAACTTTAAGTCGTTGTAATCACTCTTTTAATGCATAAAAACATGATCAATCGATATTTTTTGTATTAAAGAAATAGCATTTACATCTAGATGAAAGTCAACCAGCCCTTTTAGGTAGGAAAACAAATACTTTTGAAAGAGAAATTAAATATCATCCTATCTTTTGTTCCTACTTTTGTTCCTATCTATTTAAGATGATGATAAGTGTACAAATCTCAAATCTCAATCAAATATAAATTAAATTTAATGACATTTGTCACCATCTAAAATAGGTAGGAGGATATTAGGAACAAAAAGTAGGAGGCTATTTAATTTCTCCTTTTGAAAACATCTATAAATCTTTGGGTCATAATATTAGAGAGCATGATATGTTATACTATACTACATTGAGAAACTCCACAACTAAACCAAAGAAACAAAAAATATCAAATATGAATGATATAAACACACATTGATGTGTCACTGCATACCATTTTCGAAAGAATATTGATATTGCATTTGTGTGAAAGGTAATTTCAAAAGGTCGCCTGATACAACTCTAAGACCACAAGCATTTCACTAATGTGGATGATTTATAAAAAAAATTATGTCAATTGGCAGGGAAAACTCATATAATATAATGGCAGGAATGATGACGCAACTATAAATTTGTTCCCCATTGGGGTTAAACTGATATTAAAAAAACCTAAAAATGAATAACATGATAAAGAACTACAAATTCTTATGGAAAACTCAACATTAGTAAGAAGATTGATAATTTAGAAATATAGCCTTATAATCAATAATGAAAAATTATAAACTTCTTGTGGATTCATGTTTCATTGATGATTAAATACTACAAACCAGACACCAGTAGCCTTATAAATATAATGAACTTTATAGATTTATTGATTTGCATACTTTTTTATTCTTATCTGGGAATATATACCAAAAGTAATTCTGAAATTTTTTATGATGTATAAACAATCTGCAACACTTGGAACTATTAAAGGACATAAATCTAGGTTAATTCACCCACCTAAAATTTGATTCGATGCCAAAAAAAAAAAGCATGCTTTCACTGATTGTTTATTATAACATCTTAGCTTTACTTATTCTTGTTTCTACATAGTAAAAATAAAATCCCCCATATAATTGCATATAGTAGAGCTATTTGCTTAATAAATAAGTATAAAAAACATTGTAATAATGTAAATCTTGAAGCTCTAACATATAAAACAAGATCTAACAAGTAAATAAAAATTTGCCTTCAAAAACACTTGAATTAACAAAAATAGATACCAATTACCAAATCAAAATATTGTTGACATAAATGTATAACATCAAAGTAAGATCAAAACTTTCAATCTGAATTTTCCATGGGTTAATTAAGACTGCTACTAACTTTGAAACTACAATTACAAAAGTTTTATATAACCATTCACTGTTTCATCAACAAACCACTTAATCATCATCATCTGAACTCTCATATGCTGCAAGTAAGCTCTTAATTGGGTTCTTATCTTCTTCTACATTATTAATCTGTGGCTTCTTACATTCTGATGAAACAGTGGACATGTCACCACTACTTTTTGTTGAAACCTTCTGCTTCTTAGGCTTCACTTCCACAACTTTTTTCAGTAAATCTTGTTGTCTGTACAAACTATTACATCATCAGAGGATATTTTGGGTATTTAAGAAAACATTTCTTTATATTTAGATTAATTATATCACCTTATTCCAGTCTTTGGCTTTGGCTCAACTCGGAGTGGCAATGGAATTGAAGCTGGGGCGGAATCAGCTAAACTTGCAGCTTTGTTATAACAAGTCAAAGATAAAGCAATGAAAAAAATTCCACCTTTAATACAATTTCAAGAAACTTACAATTTGTGGGGTATAATATCAAGCATCCAAAGGGCTAAATGCAATAGATAGCAATGTAAATACCCCACTTTTTTTTATTGAGCTATGTGCTAAATCAAACATTTTAAAGAATTTGGAAAGAATTCTTATTGAACTACTAGCAAAATGGAATGCATATATTATGTGTTATTGTCAATTTTAAATAATTGTTGAAAGTTAAAAAGGGATATTTTAAATGCTGCAAATGCTCGTTTTTCAGTGCGACGTAACAGGCGTTCTGCATCTTCTTCTGCTTCCATCTGCTCCTTGAGATAGAGCAGATCATCACTGTCCAATGCTGCAAATTCAAATTTAAGAAAAACCCTACAAATATATGTAAAGAAAGACGATAATAATCTACGAAAAAAGGGAGTTTACTATACCCCCTCGACCATGTAGGTAGCCACCACGTTCTCCTGCTACCTCTTGCATCTGTGTACATTAACCAGCCAAGATCCCTGAAGGGCATGTTATCAGAATAACCTTCTAAAACCACATTATTGCCTATCGAATTAAGCATGAATTTCGAAATCAAAGAATGGGTTTTCATGAAACCAACATGATGCGATGGCTATACCCAAAAGAACACGAAGAAGAAGAAGAAAGTAAAAACGATGAGAGGAGAAGCGGGATTCGCTAACCTTAGCAACCATGCGTTGAAAAGTGATATCTTCATCATCTATTCTATCTTTCCCCTTTCCTAATTTCTTATCTGTAATTCACATAGGAACACAAAAATGAACAAAAATCGCAACATGTTTTGGGTAAACGGAAAACCCGTTGAATTACCTTTAGGATCTGAAAGATTGGTGTATTCCCGGACTTCTCTTCCGGCCATATTTCAAGAGGGTGTCGCCGTCGATGATGGTTGTATGAGATGAAATCAACCTAGAGGGTGATTTTGACCCACTTAATAGAGGAACGATTGTACCGTTTCTGTGTGCTATCTTGTTTGAAGAAAACCTAACCTTCTTTTAAGATCGACACTCATTTTGATATATGGGAAATCGCCTTATTAAAGCAAATTACCTTACTTTTTAGTTTTGTTCATGGGTAACTTTTTAATTTGTAATGAATTTTTGAAAGTGTTCAATATGATTGTAGCACTTTATTTTCGGTTATAATTATCATATGCGAATATTTTTATCAAATTTATTATTTATATGTGTAAAAAAAATTGTTCAAATCTGAACAAAACAAAAGAATAATTATTCTGATAAGTTAATTTTTTTTCTTTTTTATTTTACATTATAATTTTGGTTATCTATAAAATTTAACCTAAATGATATATATTTTTAAAATCACACCATTTTAGTAAATATTTTTTTTAAAATCCACTACTTTGATTAAAAAAAACTTTAGATTTGACAGAGAAAAAAAAACATATCGTCATTTATAGAATGTTATTGTTTATGATATTAAATATAAATAATTAAAATTTACTAGAGACTAAAAGTACCGAATAACATAAATAAGAACACTATCTTCAATGAAGTTTACTCCATGTATTATAGGAATTTAAAATACAAAAAAACAGAAGTAGTTTTTATCTACATCGATAGCATTGCCCTTGTCATATATATATATATATATATATATATATATATATATATTATATATATATATATATATATAGTTAAGATTAAATATAAATTACAAATATTATATGAATGTATGACTATTTTTTGTCCATTTGATTTGAAAAAAAAGGGAATGAGTGAGATTTGAGGGTGCATATGATTAACATAGGATCACATTCACTATATAATTAAACTTATTTAATTATAAGTGTATTTTAGTCTATTAACTTATATTTAAAAAAGAAAGATTACTTATTAATTGCATAATTTGATGATATTATTATTAAATTACTTATTCATCTTATTTTACAAAAGTAAACATGGATAATTAAACATTATTTAAAAAAAAGGTAAGTCCATAAAACTATTTTCATACATGCAATAGATTTCATTCTTTAAGAATGATTCATGAAATTGAATATCATATTCTTGAAGAAAATGCAATATTCCTTTTACGCAACCAATGTAATAACACCAACGGGGAATTCTTGAGGAATATGAAATATTCATTTTACATTTAATCAAATTTTAAACAATATATCATTTTTTTTTAAAGAATATGTAGTAAATAAGCCATTCTTCGTATGAATTTCGAAAGAATGACCATTATAAAAACAATGAAAAGAATGTGCATTATGAAAGAACACAATGATAAGGCTTCTTTCTCGTAGAGTACTATTTATCATATTCCCCAAGTGTTATTGGTCATCGTCTTCATGTTCTTGAAGAGTACGATGCATTCTTAAAGACTGAATTATCTTAGAACTCGGTTAGTAACAAACACTAACATGCAAAATCAAAACATGTAAATGGAAATATTGGATTCTTATTGTTGTAAGTAAGCTTGATAAACATAATAGATGATTCTTACAAAAATGTTGGGGTCGAAAGTATTGTGAGATGTCGAAAATGTCTAAGGCATTCTGAGTGTCGAAAGTCAGTTTGTAATGTTTATTATAAGGGCATTTATGTTTCGAAAGTGTAATGTCGAGTCCCTTATATTTTCTGTTTGCTTTCAGTATTCCTATAAATAGGGGATGGATACATGTTTAGAGGTATCGTTAATATTGTCATTATACTCATTGTATAACCACTTGTATTCTCTGAAAGCAATATATTGAGCCAACCAGATTATATTTAGATTTTGTGTTCTAAATCTTTTCTTAACTCTGATCTCGTGTTTCATACTCGATTCAATCAATACTACATTTGGTATCAGAGCAGGAATCATTCTGCATTGATCTGATTTTCTCTAGTTTCAAAAGTATTTTGAGTCTTGTTCTAGATTCAAAAGTTTCCGCACTTTTGATTCTGAAAATCTTATTAGATCTTCAGTAGTGATTCGATTCTGCGATTAGATTGTTTAATCGAGTGTTCGATTTCTTTTTTCTGGTTGATTCATCTATTAATTTTCAAATTCCTGAAGCTTTTCTCAAAAACTTTCCGTACATCAATGGCGAACTTTAACATGAACATCATGACCTCCTTTTCTCATCTTCTAGGATCTTCTACGAAGATTCCTATGTTAATTCCTGAGTACTACGATCAATGGGTTGATCGTATGGAGGACCACTTAAATGGAATTGACGAGGAACTCTGGAAATGCATCACTGATGATATTCATCCTCCTTTTGATGTTCGTAGTGTTGGAAATTCTGCTACAAATCCAAATGTTAATGAACATACTGAAAGATTGCTGAAAAATGAAAAAAGATGTATGCGAGAACTCCGTGGTGCTCTTCCACCTGTCGTATACAATTATGTTCGTAGTTGCAAAACTTCAAAGGAGATCTGGAATACTTTGAAGGAAAAGTATCAGGGTAGTGAGAAAACAAAATCAGTACAGTCAAACATTGACTGTTGGAATTAAGAGAGTTTAAGCAAAAAAGAAGAAGAATCCATTGAATTCTACTATGATCGTCTGAATGAACTCATATACAAGTGCAATAGATATGGGATCACAAGGTCGACAATGGAGTTCAATCTCACATTCATTATGGGGCTTCGCAAAAACTGGCGAAATGTTAGTCTCATGATAAAGACTCAGCAAAGTTTTGATTATTTCTCTTTGAATGATCTTTACAATGTGATGAAAGCACATGAGTCTGAAGTTATCGAAATTGTTGAGGAATCGAAGAACATCCTTGGTGGTCCACTTACTTTGGTTTCGAAAGTTGCTGGAAGAGAAGTTGAAAAAGAGAATTCGGAAGATGAAGGCCTGATTGTTAACTCAGATGATGAAGCTGTAGCTTTTTACTCAAACAACCGAGTAAAGAAGTTTTACAAAAAGCCTTTTAACTCGAAGTCTCGTGCAAGTGAAGCGAAAGGAAGTTTTGCTGGAAAGTCTGGAGTTGAAGAGAAGAATGTAGAGAAGAAGGAGATCAAGTCTGAAGAAGCAAAAGTTAAGGTCTTATTCACAATATCAACTAATTCACTTGCATCTAAACATTCATCAATTTTCACAATCCCATATGGATATCTATCATCTGGAACCCTATCAAAATCATCTGACATATAACTCTCAAAACAATTTTGCTGATATCGAAGATGATTTTGACAATATTAGTGAAATTGATGAGGAAGAAGTTGTTGATTGTTATCAATTTTCTGTCAATAATGTCACTTTAATGGCTAAGGGTAAAGAAAAATGTGATGATTCTTCGATTAAAGTTGACAAAGACCAACCCTCTACTTCGAAAGTTTATGATTCTGACTATGTGACTGTCGAAGATAGTCAAACAGATAGTGATGATGATGGAGAAGTTGCGAAGGAAACAAAAATTCCCCGAGTTGTTGTTGAACATGTCTACGAAGAAACAGAGAAATTCGACAACATCATGAAAGAAAAGGGTTCTCATTATCTTGAACCAAATTTTGTTGTATATCCAACCTTCAAGTGTATTGGTAATGTTGTTTTTCCGAATCAAGTTTTTGTCACAACTGGAAATGGAGTGAAGGTTAAACCTAAAGTTAAAAAATTTGTTGAAGAGGACAACAAGAAAGCTTCGAATGAAGGATTTTTCTCAAATCAAAGCATTGTTGCAAATAATCTCAATAAAAATTCATCCACTTTTCAACGACAAAAACCAAGTCAAAATTGGGCCGTTAAAATTGAAAAATCAAAGGTTGAACAACAAACAAATGCCAATGTTTTTGAAAAACCAAATCAAAAAGTTAAAATTTCAAATGAGGATATTTTGAAAATGTCTAAAGAAAATGGAATTTCAATGAGCAAAGCTCGAAAGAAAGCTTATTGGTAGGATTATGAAACTAAAAAAGAAACAACGTGCTTCAACCAAAATGTCTGGAAAGAAAACGACTGATTCTGTTAAGACAAAAAATCAAAAACCATTTCGTGGTCAAAACAAACCAAATTCAAAACCCACTCAATCACAAAAAGATTTTTTCAAAACCAAAGCACCAGTTTCGAATTCAAATGTTCAAACTTCTTATTATGAGAATTACGTGAAACACCAACAAACAAAGAATTTTGATCAACATTATCAAAACAAAAGGTTTTTACAAAACAATTTTCAAAGAAGAGGTTTTCAATCAAATGAACATCAGAATTATCATCATGTTTCTCATCAAAATCAATTTTTGAATTCACAAAAAGTTTTTGCATGAACAAAAGTTGGATATCGAAATCATTTTCAAAATCAGTATCAACCTCATGTTTCCACAAGATTACCATCAAGAAATTTTGACAAGTTGAAGGTTCAAGGGAGAATAAATGAATCTTTTAATCCAGAACAACCCAAGTTTCCAAATCCACCTTCGAAACAAACAGGTAAAGCGTCATTTGTTAAAGGGAAAACAGATGTGAAGAATATCAATCACTGGTTGGAAGGAAAAGGAAAAAGTTTTCAATCAGGGAAATTCTCTCAAGAACAGATCAAGGATGCTTATGAGAAGTATTTAAATGAATCTTCTCATGGAAGTTCGTCATCCAAAGAGTCGAATCCTACTGTTCAACAATGGAGAGCTGTTTCGAAAGAAAAAGTCAGTGAGAAACAAACTCAGAAGAAAGAGGCGAAAGTTAATGTTGACTTCAAACCCCTCGAATGATTACATTTTTGTACCCTTATCTAACGATGTGGACTTAATTGATAGCTTAAAATCAAATGTTCGGAATTGGATTTTAGGATCTTCGTTTCATCATACAGTTTGTTCTAATAACCAAGGACCCAAACAACCTTGGGGACCTAAATTCTTTCACTGATTACAGGTTTTGAGTGATGAGCAATATGATGATAAATGGTATATAGATAGTGGTTGCTCTCGTCACATGACTGGGAAGAAGGAAAACCTGAGAGACTTTTGAAGTCTTGAAAATGCTGGTGTAGTAAAGTTTGGCAACAATCACAAGTGTTATGTCAAAGGTTATGGTAAAGTCACAAATGGAAAATTTATTATGAACAGGGTAGCTTATGTCGAA